TAAGAAAACAGATATATAGATACAAGAACCAGTGCCCGACTTTGGAATATATATATATATATATTCCCGTAGCTAAACCAAAATATTGCTGTCTGTTTGTTTTTGATCTTGTGCATCAATAAAAGGTGATGCAAAACATGTCTCGAAATAATATCAGTTAAATTCGAAATAAAATTTCTATAGTGTAAGTTTGAAGAAATTTTATCTTTTTTGTTATTGTTATTCGATAGATATCAGTTGACAAAATTTTTCCATCATTTGATCAATAAAAACTACCAAATGCCATGTTGTTCCTTTTTTTTCTTTGATCTTTGTCAATCACCAGATGAGCTTAGGTGTATTAATCAGTCATGTTTTTTTCTACTTTTTTGATCTTCGTCTATCGATTATTATTGTCTTCTGAATTATGATTGGTGAAGAAAATTAATAGAAATTTTTTTTTTCTTCTTTACTATGAATAGAGATGTTCTATATAACAATTGCTATCATTCGTTTGTAAAGTTACTTGAAAATATTCAACTTTCATTTATTAAAAAAAAAAGGTTAAGTATTCTGAATATTTTTTCTTTTGTTCAGTTATTCTTTTGCTTAGTATATTATTTCTAGGGTTTAAATATGGATCCATATTATTCTTCGTCAACACCATATTACTATCAGTCAACATGTCCTTTACATGATTCATCATCATCATCATATTTATCTGATTCTTATGTTGATCCTTATTCATCATATCCCTGTCAATCAACGCCATATTATTATCCATTATATAATGATCAAACAACATCACCAATGGTTTTTTATAATAATTCAACAACAAATATCCACGCTCAACCAACATATACAATACCACAAACAAATGTTCAAGTTTCACCAACGAATATTCAAGGTAATCACCGAACACAATCATTGAATACAACATTTGAATTAGGTAAGATATATTTTAGATGAAAATTGTTTCTTTGATTATTTTTTGTTTTGTTTAGCTCCACCAACAGGTCGTCGTCGTCGTCAGCGAACTATTTTTTCTAAAGATCAAGTTGATATACTCGATCAAGTGTTTGAAAGAAATCAATATCCTGATATACAACTTCGTGAACAACTTTCTGAACGACTTGATGTTCCCGAAGCTCGCATTCAAGTACGGTTGACTTTAAGAAATTATTTTAAAATTTATATGTTTCTTTTTTTTTTTTTGTTAAGGTTTGGTTCAAAAATCGTCGCAGTCGTGCTCGAACAACAACAACAAAATCCTAATATTAATATAAACTAGCCGTTGAATTTCATGCACGGAGTTTTCTGTAATTTTTTTATTTTAGTTAATAAAATGTCTTATGTAAAAACTTATTTGATAACTTATCTATTGTAATATTGCCTTGAAGAGATAGATGAACAAATTTAACCTTTTTGGAAAAAGGTTTAAATGTAAACGGAGGCAATGAATATATCCGACTCAAGCTTGATGAGAAAATAGACATCTGTCTTCAAGTTAAAAGATAAGAAGAACGATCAGTTTTTTTTTATTGTTGTTGTATAGATTTACTGTAATATTGAAAAGGATGAATGACGAACAAGAAACTTTCATTCCTAATCAACAATTTCGTCCGATAAGGAAAAGTCATTTTGCTGCATGTTGTGTTACATTAAGCCTATTAATTACTCCTATTATATGTGGAATTGTAATATATCTAACAAGCAAGGAAGTTTCATCAGAATTAAAATATGATTCATTATGGTTTCCATCAACTGGCAGTGAATCATGCATTCGTCTTGTGGATATTAATGGAGATGGACTTGATGATGTTATTGTTGCATTGACTGAAATAACAATAATTACAAATAATAAGCAACATGACAAGGATCGTTCATCATTTTGTGAATCAATAAATGTAGAAGAACCTTGTAGTGGTACCGTGTATGGTATACGTGGTTATGATTTTACTATACTATGGTCATTTCGAGTTAAAGGATCAATATTCGAAATAGTATGTGATACCATCGATATTAATAATGATGGTCGTCGAGATTGTATTGGTGCTGGACGACAAGGTACTTTAGTTGCATTTGATCCTCGTACTGGTAAATTGTTTTGGCATAATAATAATATAAAATCAAAACATACATTATGGAATTTTTATAATCCTCTTATTCTTCCGATTGATATTGATCATGATAATATTAATGATTTTCTTATTTCACATGGTGGTAATCCAACAATACCATCGGATGTACATGAACGTGATGCTGGTTGTTTATTAATTATTTCAAGTCGAACTGGAAATCAAATAGGTGAACCATTTTGGATGCCAGATGGAAAAGAAACATATATGTCACCAGTTTTATATAGTAATTCTACAATACTTTTTGGTACAGGTGGTGAAACAGTATCAGGTGGATTATATAGTATATCAATAGATAATATTATTAAACAAAACAATAATTATGTAACTATTTTTAAATCATTTGAAAAAGGTATTATGGTACCACCAATTGTTCTTGATATTGATCATGATGGTATTGATGATATACTTGTAAGTTGTTTTGATGGAACATTAGAATTAATTAATGGAAAAACAATGAAACCAATATGGACAAGAATATTTTCTGGATATGAATTTTATGCTTCACCAGCACCAGGTGATTTTAATATTGATTCATTTGTTGATTTTATGATTATACTTAATCATGGTAAGAAGTATAATTATTGAAGAATAAAAGCAAGAAAAAAAAATCATAATTTTTTTTTATTTAATTTCTTAGGTGAATGGGATCGATATGATTATAGTAAAGTATTAATTATTGATGGCTTGACGGGTGAAACAATTTGGATAAAAAATAATACTTTTGGAGAATTTTCATCTCCATTAACTTTACAAATGACAAATAATGGAAAATATCAAGATAGTTTTATTTATCGACAACGTGGTCAAACATTTGAAAAAATTCATTCGAATACATCATCTATTTTATTTCATGGAATTGGACTTCAAGATGGAGAAATTTACAAGTAGATTGTTTGAAATTATTTTTATTTACTTTGTTTTTGTTGTTCTTTAGAAACGAAAATTTAATCTCATCGAATACAAATTATTCTTGTGATCAATTTACATTAAACGGTTCAATTGTGAATATATATTTAACAAATATTGAAGAAACTCAATTAATAGCTTTAATATATCCTCCTATGAATAAGGAGAATAATCTTTGTAGTGATTATGAACCTATGGAACGATCTGGAGGTGCTATTGGTGATCTTAATGGTGATGGTATTTTCGATACAGTTGATATAACAACATTTATTACAAAATTAACATCACATAATTTAGAAAATTTTATTGCACATTCAATTTTAACAAGATTTTCATTGAATATAAACCAAATTGAAAATCAAATAGTAGCAAATTATCAAAAAGATATTTCTAATAAAACAATTGATCAAAATCTTATTAATTTATTAAAAGAAAAAATTTCTTTTCCAACAAAATCTATTAATAATAAAAATTTATATATTATTTCAAAACAAACATGGAATAGTTATTTAGGTCGATATTCAGACAGTCATTACTATCGAAATATTTAATTATATCTATTACAATGACATTTTTCAATTTTAGTTTCTAATTATTATTGTTGAAGAATTAATTGAAGCTGTTTTTTTTTTCTCCAAGCTATTTATGTATATTTGGTATTCTTTGTTGGGTTTCTTTTTAAATGAAAAGAATAATTTCGTCTTACTACCTATTTTCGATTCATTACGAATATTATTTATTGAACGACAAGAACATATTTTACAAAAATCATTTCAATTAATATATGATGACTGTTATTTAGATGACTAATAAAATAGATTTTTTCCATAGAGTTTTGTTTATTCATATAAAATAGGACGCGGATGTGAACATGAATGGGTATTCATTTCATTCACGCGTACACCTTTATGATATCTCGCGGTCCGCTTTAGTTTCATAAACATTTTACTGTAATAAACTGCTCTCTCACTTTCTCTATAGTTCGTATAATGTATTGACCATGCATTTCTAATTAATGCTTCTACTCGATCGATCCAATGAAATGCAGCCTCGTTAATCCAATATTGTGATTTCTTTTTTTTGTCTGATCCAATCTTTCATTTCCATTTATATTATAAGTTTCTTCTACAACCACTTTTTCTGATAAACCTAAGAAAGAACAGACTAATTTCATGATTTCAAGTGATTTCAGAGATTGAAATCAGAATTGTTTCCTGTTGAAAACAATGCTTGTACGAATTATATAAGTTACTATACATACAAGAATACTGTATTTAAAATGTGCTAAAATTATAATATTGATTTAGTGCCGTTGAAAATGAACAGAGAGATGCGCAAATACGATTACAACTTCTACCATATATAATCTGAGACATCCTCCTGTTTACTTTTGAGCTTCTCAATCCGTCTATCTAATGACACAACAACATACATACCCCGAAAAATCTAGAATTCATACAGTGACATGTAATCGCTTGTAATTACATGGAATTTCGGTGGGTGTGGAAATGCATGTGTGCATGTGGTTGTGGGTATGATTTTGACTCTTTCCTCCACATTCTCCAAGGCTATTTTCTTGTTGAATTCTATTCAGTTAATGAATTCGATATTAGAAAAATAAAATAGTATTCGACGACAAAGACTATTAGTCTTCTCATCTTTAAAAATATAACAAATTGTATCATTAATAATTTGATTAATGTTAAGAATTATTTGATGAAGACATTTTTTTTTCAAACAAATTTGGCTCTTCAGTTGTATCCAATGTTGACACAGCGTCATTCATCCTATACGTAGAGTAAAAAGAAGCTATTTAGAATCAGTAATGATTTTATTTCTTGATTGATCGAGAATATGTTCGAATAATTGTTAAGTAACTTTTAAAATTGATTGAAATGAACGTTTATGAAAAAGAAAACTTCGTTAGGAATAAAACATTGAATTGACCAGCTAGATGATACCTCAAGAAAGTCGAGAGTGAAAATTAAAATGCAGAATACTATATGGTGTTAATTATATAATATCGAATAATTTAAATATTTCGAAAAAAGTTAAATAGATTTGAAGTGAAAATCCGATCTTTACTACGGTAAATTATATTTTTCTTCTTCTTTGTCTTGTATTTCGAAACGTTTTGTTTTAACTTGTATAGATCAACAAACAAAAATTCTTTTCAAGGAAACAAATAGATGAGACTATCATTACTAGACTTCTACGAGTTCCGGTTTAGAACCAGTTGTTCTTACAGCCAACACAAAGGAGTAAAAGAGTAGTACCTAACTTGTCGTTGTAATTACATCGAACATTGAATAAAAGCATCCCCACGCAATTTTTTTCCTCATAATATCCTTGGCTATTTGTTGAACTTTCTAGAAGCAAACTAAAATTGTCACAAATTACATAAATGTTACACTTAACATCGCATTAAAAAGATTCAAGAACTATATTTTTTCGAATAAAATAATAGCACATCATCAGATTGATCTCATGGTTACAAAAAAAAAACTAATGAAAATTTATTATTTAAATAAAATATCATGAATATTAAATATGAATGAACGAGAAATAAAAAGCTAGTCTCTTAATAGACAATAGTAAGTGTTGGTGGTATTGCATGAATAATGGTTCCAGTAAAATTTGCAATAACTTGTTTTGTTAATGAATAATCATACAAAATATAATTACCACCTTTTAAAATTCTAACCTGTCCATCAGTTAAATTAGCTGGTTGAATGTGTATTTGTGTATTTGTTAAATTTTTTAATTGATTTATTAATTGATCATTTCGTTGATTCATACAATTATTATCACAAGTTGTAGAAAAATTTATAAAAAAATCAACTATTACTTGAATTGTACTATTTGAATACCTAGAAGAAATAAAATTTATACATATATATATATATTATCATTGATTTTTATCTTAATTGTTTTCTATACCAAAATTGTAAAATGATCTGATTGATTGTGATATTAAGTGCATTAGAACCATTAGAAGATTGTGTTTGTTGTTCAATCTTATGAAATAAATAATAGACAAATATATGATTTTTAATAAAAAAGATTCGATGAATAATAAGTTTGAATTTGTTAAAAAAAAAGAGAGTTCTTATGCCTGTAGAAAATAAATCGAATAAAAAATTCGTTCAAACTAGAAATTAAACATTAATTTTTACATATAACCGATGTTCTACAATGAATTGCACTAAATCTTAATGTCTTTTTTTCGTCTTACTTCCGAAGGATAAAAGTTTTTCTTTAGAAATCAGTTATTTCACTGCAATTTCCTATTCTCTGCTGATACTCATTGATTTGTGTAAAGCCTTTACATATCAAAGTTGATGTCTGAAGTAAATTATTTAAAGGTATTCTTCCCTCTTTTTTGGTTATTTCTAGTTCTTGCAGAGTGTACAACCAATCCGTATGAAGTTTTTATCACGTATAGAATACCTAAAATAATGAGACATGTGTTCGAAAAAAACAGTTTTAAATATTATTTTTTCGGTTTTATTATGGTTTTGGAGACATCGTAAACTATATCTCCGATGTGATTTTAAGCTTTTTCAAAATCTTGCTTTCGATTCTTTTTCATGAAAGAAATACATAAAGGCTCGGATTGAAAACCAAAGTGTTGATGTTCAAAGCTCTAAAAATTCGGATAGGAAATTCAAAAACAAGACCGACTAATTTCACTTCTGAAGAATACTTCCGAAGGTCCTCTATGCTTCAACGATTTTTTTAAAGTTCTCTTATTGCTGTTTACGAGAACACAACTCTCGGCATTTTCAAGTTCACTTTAAAAAAAAATCATCTTTTCAAAAGTCAGACTTACTCTAGGAATAGTATAAGTATAGAAAAGAAATGTGACAATATTTAGAGTTATTTTCAATTAGAAAACAGCACTCAGGTAGGTTTTACTTTGAAAAAACGACTTTTTTTCTGATACTTTCGCGTTTTTTTTACTTCAAAATTATTTCTTCTAAATATTTCTCTGAAGACTTTGAAACATGTATCTAGAGATGCAGAATTTTAGAAAGAATTTTATGAGATCATTAAAAGTTTATCAGAACTTTTATTAGAAAATTATCATCAGTTTTTCTTTTGTTCTCTTGAATGTCGCAGTTGGAAGAGTAAATAGATATTCTTCTTGTAAATTTTGTGCGTACAAGAGAATGATATTTGAGAAACAAAATCAAAAATTTTGGTAGGTCTTGAACTTCTCTATCTTAAGAAATAAGNAGGAGAAAGGTTCGATAATTTCAGGATAGACTCAATGATATGAACTACATCTTGAGATTCTGAAGAAAGATTTGTATCGTTTGGATTTGGCGTTGAGCTTTGCATCCGGTTATAAGAGTATTTTTTCATCCTCCATTACGTCGCTAACAAAAAGCAAATCGATTTCTTTTTGACAAATCTAATGTTGTCTCAATTTGAAGTCTTTTTTTTTTAAACTAAAATACATGAAATGAAAGTCCATGTCCTTTTTAACGTTACTTTTTTTAATGATAACTCCTCTTAAAAAAAGTTCTCTAGCACTGACTTTTTTTTCGTGTGTATCTAGAGTAATTTAAAGATACGTGTAACATATAAAAATTAGCTCTAGAAAAGTTTACTATCTCGAAATACGTATGTTTTCATTTCAAAAGGTCACATTGCCAACGAATAATTTTATCCATTATATATAAAATTTTCCTTCTCTTTCTAAATATTTCTATAGAAAAGGCCACTCTCGTTTGGCACTTTATTTATCTCGTTCATTAACAACTCCACTACATGGACCAGAAGCTATTGAATGTATTCGTCATTTATCATTAAGTGATCTATTTTCGAATAATATTATTCAATTATGTCATATAATAAAACATTTAATTAATGATTCATCACGTTTATTAGCTTCACTTCGTAATGCATTTTATCCTGAATTAAATATAAGTGAATTATTATTAATGACATCAGCTGATCCAAATTCATTAGTTAATTCAATTCATATGCCACTTTTATGTATTGCATCACGCAATGGTTATACATCATTTGTTGAATTACTTTTAAAATATCATGCAAATGTTAATTTAGCAACAAAAGATAATGAAAATAAAACAGCTGTAATGCTTGCAGCTGAATATGGACATGAACATGTTGTTAAATTATTAATTGATTATAATGCTGATGTAAGTTTGAATAAATTTAATCAAATTAAACTTATTTTAATTTTTAATCTTTTCGAATATTCCTTAATATTTAATTTTAAAGTCTTGATATTTCTCATAATAATCGGTGTATGTCATAAATAATGATATCATTCGTATTTTCTTTTCTTCTTGTCTACATTTGTAGATAGAAAGCTACGCTTAGGTTTCAAATGATTTGCTGTTCAATTTTCTATAAGATAACATGAACATATTAGATCTACTTTTCAAACTTCCCGAGAGAATCGAAGAATACTGAGTTTCTCGATATGGACTGATTTTTAGAGAATATTTTCTAAAAAGATTTTGTTACTTTGCTATTTTACTCGGTTTGGGCGAGACATGAAATAGAAACTTTATTGTGATAATAGGTTTAGCTCTTTGTCATGATGTGCGGTGACGAATATTTCCAAAGAATATTATGACATAGAAACGAGCGTCTTCAAATTTTCAGCGGCACATAGCCTATTCAGTGGAAAGATTCATTTTTAATGAATACAGACTTTAACTTTAACTATGATTGCTAATGCTTCCACGCGATTTTGTACAAAATTCAATAGCAACTCTTTCAGGCTGAGAGTGTGGATCTCATTGAAGCGAAGACCCATACCCTCACTACTTATTTGCTTGGTGGTCATTGTGGCTGCGTTATTCGATACGTATTCAAAAGGTACTGTATGCAAACTTCAGTACCACCAGTCATGCAATGACTCTGGACAAGTCACTAATGCTTATTTGTCTCGACTCACTGGTCCGCTAGTGGACTGACTATGTTGTGACATACACCTACTTTTTTCGTTAGTTTATGGTTAGTTAGTGTGCATGAAGAGTTCAAAAATTCTGCGTCAAGCCGGCCTTCTTTCCAAAGCTACGGCTAGTCATAGTTGTAGGAAAGATATCGGGCTATAGAATCTATAGCTAGGCAGTAGCCCATACGGCGAGATAGTTGAAAGACAGAAGTATTCTTTCTTCTTTGTCCTCCTTTCATTTGATCATTTCTCCGCTTCGAAATAATTAATGGAAAGTAAACCTGCAGATAGTAAATCGTATCAATCACCATATTTTCTTTTCATTCCGAGACATTTCTAAAGATTTTATTTTGTTTTTATTTAGATCACATTGAAAGATAAATACCAGCTAACAGCTGTTGCTTATGCAACAAAACATGTATCTATTTTGAAACTACTCAATTGTGCAGATGGATCTATAAAACAACAAGCATTTGTTTATGCTGCATCAAATGGTTCATTGGATGCTCTTGAATTTATGTTAACTGATAATAATTATTCAACAATTGATATAAACGGTATAGATTATATACATGGTGAAACAGGTATATTCATTCGTCATATGTAATAATTTATTTATTCGAAATAAAATTTCCTATAGCTTTAACAAATGCAGCAAGTCATGGTCATATGAATGTAATTGATTATTTAATAACAAATCATCAAGCAGATATCGATCGAACAAATTCTCGTCAAATGACACCATTATTATTAGCAGTTAAAAATGGTATGTGGTCATGTGTAGAATATTTACTTGATCATCAAGCATCAATTGAACATTGCGATAAACAAAAACGAACATGTTTAATAATTGCAGCTAGTGAAGGTCATCTAGCTGTTATTGATAGTTTATTAGAAAAAGGTTTTGTTTTTAATAAACAAAAAAAAAAAAAAAGAAATGTTTTATCTTCTTGTTTTTCTTTCACATAGGTGCTAACGTTCATCATGAAGATGAAGAAGGACTTACAGCTTTATCATGGGCTTGTTTAAAAGGTCATTATCATGCATGTGAAGCTCTATTAGCTCATGGAAGTGATATTAATCATGAAGATATAAATGGTCGAATACCAATTGATATGGCATCATTTTATGGTGATGTACAACTTGTACAATTACTTATTGATCATAGTTCAATTGTTGATCATATTGATAAAAATGGAATGCGTGCACTTGATCGTGCTATTGGATGTCGAAATGTTGCTGTTGTTAATTGTTTATTAAAGAAAAGTGTTAAACTTGGTAAGAAAATGAAATTTAAAAAAACAATAATTGATTTTCGCCTGACAAGAATTTTATGAATGTTCAATGAGAAAGTTCAAAAGAATACAAAAGTACTTTTATTCAGCAAAAAAAAACAACAATATATGATCTTAATAGAGAAGTCTTTTATCTAATTAATTGCATTTGTGTCCGGACAATATACTTCATTAAGATTTTAATGAATTATGAGAATACTCTGAAACGAGTTCGTGATGTTACCTTAGTGCTGCTGTAATATTGCATTTTGTTATATTAAAGTCGTAATATCTCTACAGGAACACTAGAAAAACTGATTTTTGAATGTCAACTTGATATTTTGCACAATAATAGGTTTTAAACAAAATAGTTTAATAAAAAATTTCTAGATCTTTTCCTCATTTCTATTAGAGATTCGATTGGTTTAGATTTTTCAAAATTTAAGCTGTAGTTCATTTGAGATGCTACGAACCGACTCAATTTCATCTCTGATTCTAATCTTAAGATATATCTATAGTAAAGGTATGTCTTTGACATCATTCATATACACTGATAGATTCCGATGTTCTTATTTTCATATAGAAGAAAATCAAAAGACTCAACATTTTTACAATAAACTATGGTGACTTTGATACAAAATACCGGAAAAAAAATGCAATATGACGACATTAATAAGTTAATAGCACGAACTCTCTTCAGACTATTCATAACTCATTAATGTGTATATAATGCACACTGTTCCAACTCAAAAGCAATTAATCAATTGAATAACTTTTTATGTTAGTTAATTATTGAATTTTGTTTTAGCAAATGTATACATGCGTCATCTATACGTATGTTAGAGGTACTCAAGTTAAGTAACTTAGCTTTCTGTTCATTCTCTATAGATTCTATTGGATTGAATCTTCCTGAGGAAAATATATACTTGCTTTGATATCAAAATATTATTTAGAAAGAAAGGAAAAAAAAGTTTTTTTTTTTCGTAACTAAACACAAATCTGACTAGATTAGTATATTTTTTATAGGTCCATCAACATGGGCATTAGCAGCAGGAAAAAATGATATGATGACAATTTTAATATCAAAATTAATTGATGATGGTATTTCACTTTATAAAGTAAATTTTATTTATTTATTTTAATTTCTTATATTATTTATTTTTGTTTTAATGAAATAGAAAAATCAATATAAAGATGCTGCTTATCGTTTTGCATATGCATTAAAAAAACTACCAATAGATAATGATCAACAAACAACTGATCAATTTATAACTAATTTTCGATTTATGAAATATAATTGTTTAATTAATTTAGCTAAATGTAAACGAAAATTAGATGTATGAGAAAAAAAAATCTATTCTTCATTTTGTTTTTTTTTCTATTTATAAAAAACAAAAAATTTCAATTTTAGTCTTATGAAGCTGCTATTGATTATTGTACACAAGCACTTTATATTCATAATACAGCTGATGGTCTTCTACTTCGATCAAGAATTAAACGTGATCAAAAGTATATAATTAAGATTTTGTTTTAAAAATTTAATTTAAAATTAAATTTTCATATTTAGATTATATGATGATGCATTGACTGATTTACTTGCAGCAAAAAATCTTGATCCAACAAATAATGATTTAGATCGATATATCAATCGTTTAAATGCTGATCTTCAACATTGTCATGAAACACTTCTATAATCATGACATTCCACTGCAACAGACCCCGGTCGATAATCTCTCTCTTCCTCTCTCTTCATATATATTTTTTCTTTTTGTTTGTAAACATTTAATGTTGAACAGTTGATAATATTCATGTATAATTATGTTCGATACTACAAATATTTCTTTTTTTTTTTTTTTTTTTTGTTAACTTGATTAGAGATATAATACAGATGATAAAAAAAAAAAGGAAAAAACAAACTCTTAATGTTTCTTATTTTAGAATTAAGAGCAAAAAGAAATTCAATGTTTATCATCAATGTATGAAAAAATCTTTGGCACACAACATCGTTTGACTGTATTGAGATTATATAAAACTATACTTCGTTTACATCAAAGTCTTCCTAATGAATTAAGAGAATTTGGTAATCAATACGTTCGTAGTGAATTTCGTCGTCATAAAAATGCTCAATCTGAATTCGTTCCAAACTTTATGCTTGAATGGAGTGTAAGTACTATATTTAAAAAAATCCATGCGAATTTATGACCTTTTCTGTCATTTTTTTATCGATGCAGTCGTCGCCATCGTAAAATATATTATTTACTCTGTTTTTTTTCCTTTTCTTCTAAATAATGATAAACATGCAGAAGGCAGATAGACGGTTTTTTTTTTTATTTCTTTTTCTTTCGTAGGAGTACGCAAGAATATTAACACGCCAAACTTCGTCTAAAAGTAACGAAACATTCGGTCAATCAATTGATTTAAAAGCATTAGATCTTCTTAAAGAAGATCAACTTATTCAACTTTACGATTTATATACCGAAATAAAAAAATCTTCGCAATCAAATAAATAATGGCAACAAAATCTAAAATAGGAAATTTAATTCATTTAGTTAATGGTTCTAATGATCAAGAACAATATCCTTCACCTCCTATTAAAGATCCATATATACTTTCAATTGATATTGGTACATCATCTATACGTGCTTATTTATTTTCAAAATCTTTTGATGTTATTTCATCATGTCAAAAACCACAAACACTTCTTACTCCTGAATTACATGGTTATGAGTTTGATCCTGAACAATTTTGGTCAATTTTACTTGATGTTATTAATGAAACAATTAAATCTGCTAGTCCATTAACTGTTACAGATATAACTTGTTTAGGTATATCAACATTAAGAAATTCTGTCGTATTATGGGATCGTAAAACAGGTAAAACATATTCTAATATTATTTTATGGAATGATTCAAGATCAAGCTCACATGCAGCAGCATCTAATTCATCATTAACATGGAAAACAATACGTGGTTTTGCTAAAGTTATTTATCCTATTATTCACACACCACGTATGTCAACATTATCAAATCTTGAATTTCGTACACAAATGATTGCATTTAAATTATTATGGTTATTTGAAAGACAACCGGAATTAGTTCAACGTGCCCGTAATAATGAATTATTATTTGGTTGTATTGAAACATGGCTTATATGGAAATTAACTGGTGGACAAGAACATGTAACAGATGTTTCATGTGCAAGTTCGACTGGACTTTATGATCCATTTTTATCTGAATGGTCATCATTACTTTGTCGAAATTTAGGTATTAATATGAGATTATTACCGACAATTAAACCAACATTTGGAGAATTTGGTCGATGTGATCCAAGTTTATTTGGTAAGATAATTATAAGTTCAATTAAACAAATAAATATATAAATGATACAAAAAGATGAGAATTTTTTGTAGTAAAAATTATGAAAGTTAATTCATTAACTTAGATGTGAGAAATTAAAAAAAAAAATTTATATGAGTGGGACAAACATGTTTTTTCTTATCAGTCGTCATATTCAATGACGAATCGGGCGCTTCTGAATCATTTAATAAAACGTGTTTGTCTAACTAAACTCAGAGTTAAACAGATTGAAATTAAAAGCAAAATGATTAATTATACTGATGATTAAGTGAAATAACAAAGAAAAAAAATTACAGACTTCGCAGATGAATTATAGAATATCGCAACGAACCCAATGTATGATATGAGTCAAGTTCGTATGACTCAACACGAGCAGAGGCCGCGCGAAGGATCTAATATTGGCGGGGTGTAGTGGACTTTGAAATATTGTAAAAAAATTTTCGGGGGGTGTAAAAGGGTATTTAGAGAAAAATTTCTTAAAAAAACACAAAATTCGTTCCAAATCTGCTCCCGTCGCTGAAAAAAAAAACAAAAATTTCCAATTATTGGGGGGGGTGTACACTCCCCCACACACACCCCCCCCGCTCGCGCGGTTCCTGAACACGAGTCACAGCCCAATGAAGTATCGTAAACTTATCCAAACAATTCTACTGATGTTTAGACTAACTTAAAAATTTCTATTGTTTTTCCAATGTTAACTAATTGCCTATTGATATATATATGAGAAAACAAATTTTTTCTGTCAAGGTTGTGCTATTCCTATTACTGCTGTCATTGGTGATGTTCAAGCAAGTATGTTTGGTCAATGTGTATCTCAACCTGGCGAATGTTTACTTACATTAGGCACCGGTGCTTTTATTAATATTTTAACCGGTGCAGTTAGTGCTTGTACTGATGGTATATATCCACTTGTTGCTCATTCGGATCTTTTAAAACCATCAGAAAATATTCATTTTATGCATGCTTTGCATAGTGGTTGTGCGACAGTACTTAATTGGGCTAAAGAAGCTAAATTTTTTGATAATTTTTCTGAACTTAATACAATATCAATGGATGCTCGACTATCGAAGGTTTTTTTTCTTCCGGCATTTGGTGGTTATGATGATGATCCATATTGTGGTTCAGGTTTTATTGGTATTGATAATGAAACAAAACGTGAAGATTTTCTTCGTGCTATACTTGAATCAATTGCTTTTGTTATTTATGATGTATTTTCATTTGTACGAGATGATTATAGAAAACATCAAGGAGAAAAAAAATTAAAATGTTTACGAGCAGCTGGTGGTGTTTCAACATGTGATTTTATTTGTCAAATAATTGCAAATTTATCAAATATGTCTGTTGAACGTTGTCATGCGTTTAATTTAGCATCAGGTATTGGTGCTGGATTTTTAGCTGCTTATGGTTATGGTCTTATTGATAATTATGAATATTTTCAACGAATTATAACTGTCGATAAAGTATTTAAACCAATACAATGTGAAATAACAGAAGCTAATTTTAAACATTGGAAAACTATTCTACCTCGTTTTAAGAAATGGTACTCATCGGATGAAAGGAGTGATGATTAATTTTGTTGGTTTTATTTTCTTGTTCTTCTTTATGAGATCTCGTGTTTTATTTTAGTTCTCTTTTTGTTTTGCTTTTGTTTTACTTTTTTTTTCTATTGGTATGCTAATTCAGTCAACTATCTCTGTGCCTGTTTTTTTTTCTGTGTGCATTATTATGTGATATAAGCACAACCTTTTATTATAAAACAACTAATTTTTACCTTTAGATATGATATTTCGATTTGTGAATAGATAATACTCAACATTTCATCAGTTATGTTACGCACTTCATTACTTAGTAAGTTCATAAGCAAGTATATTTCAATAATCATACGTATTAATATTTATTCAACTTTTAGCGTATGTATAAATGGATAAAAATCTATCAGAAATGTGTCTTGAACTCATTAGTTTGTCAAAATGTGAAAGGATGAGAACCATTCAGACAGCTAATTTTTGAAAACCTAAGAAGATAAATGTCTGATCGAATGTCATTTATTGGGAAATTACACTCTATATATAGTAGTGGATGCACTGAAAATGTCCATGACAATAGACAAGATGGGAAAAGTTCAATCAACATTATAATAGAGAGAGAAAAAATCCAAATAACAAGAAAAATAGAATACGGGAAAACCATGTATGTCATGAAGGAGATGACTGAAAAGTAAAAATCCATATGGCATGAAAGAGATGACAGAAGACGCTCAGAGGAAAGAATGTTATGCAATGAAAATATCCTAGGGTGGATCTTGGTCACCCCGTGACACAATGGATAAATTCAGTAAAGATTCGAGCATTTATGAACAGTTTTCTATTGAAACAGTTCTTGTGTATAAAACCATTCATAACTTAAAGAATTCAAACTTAATTTATTAATTGAAGATTGTATTAATTGAAATTTCGCTACTCTCTCTAGTTCATCAATAAAATCCGAATACAACACTAGCTCGAGTTTTCATACCAGTTGTGCTCTCAATTCGAAATTGAACGTTAATATATGTTTATATAGATGAATAAAAAGCAAATTAAAAATTCGTCTTGAATTCATTGATTTGCCAAAATAAAGACGATAAATAGAAAGAACTGATATAAATAACAAAATAACACATATTGATCGTGTTATGCATTTCGTGATATTGTTTTAAATGAAGAAAAAGAAATACGAAGTATACAAAAAAAAAAAAAAAAAAACATTGCTATGATGTTTTTTTAAACTTTTATCCCATTATATACATGTTGTTCAAGGACAAGGCCATTAGTAATACAAATATTGTTGCTTAATTGCTTTTTCAATTATTTATTGATATATGAAAATTACGATAAAATATGACGTTGAATGTATATATCATATAGTCTAAATTATTAAATAGATTTGATGTGTTTTATATTTATCAAAAATCGAATTCTTTAAATATTGAATTATTAGAAAAACAATCTATTGTTCAGTTACTTCAATTATCTTTCTGTTTGTTTGTTTTTATCAAATTTAATGTATCAATAGTTCTACAAAAATACTATTAGAGTATAAGATTTGTCTACGAATGTATTTCTTATTCATCTAGTTTCATCATATATTACTCGACGTTTAATTGTTGCAAATGCTTCGACTAATGTTCAAGCATCCTCAACAATAAAACCTGAAAAAATTCCTCAAATAAAAGTTGCACTCTGTATACAACGTTATGTGCATTTATCACCTGAAATGACTCAATTAGAAAAAGATTATACAAATTTAGTAACACAATTGGAAATCGAACATAGTTATTTATCAGATCATGAATTACGACATAAAAGAGAAATGTAAGTGTAACAAAAAAAAAAAGAAACATATTCATTTTTACATTGAACATAAAATATTTCTTAGTGAACTCGCTAAACAACGACAAAGTTCACCAACAAGTGCAGCTGCAGCAGTAAATATTGTTGAAACAGCTGTTGACTTAGAAGATCGTTTAGCAAAAGAATTTGAAAATTTTCAACTTATGCCAAGAGAAACAGGTACATTGTTTTTTTTCGCATTTGTTTTTGATTAATGTTATCACATCTGTTGCTTTTCAGAGGATGATAAAACAAATAATCTTCGAAGTCATAATCGAAAACTTGATCAAAATTTATTATTAATCGTACAACAAAAGAATTCACAATCGAATAAAGATGAATGGATTTTTCCAGAAAGAACCTACGATGGTGAACCATCTTTACGAGCAGTAAATATTCTATATATCAATAATTATTATGAAATATTTGTTCATTAATTTTAGGCAGCTGAACAAATTATTTCAACATGTGGAAATCTTCATGTACAAATATCTGGAAATGCACCATTAGCTTGGTATAAAAATGATGCTGATTCATCTTCTAAAAAGGTAAGAAAATAGTTTAATATATTCTTTCATATACTGTTTTTTTTTTTATTAAATATTCTTTTTTAATAGATTTTCTTTTATAAAGCTGAATATTTGGCAGGTGTTGTTAAACAATTTGCTACTCTTAAATCTTCGCCTTATAAAGATCATGCTTGGATTACTCATGAAGATCTTCCCAAGTATTTGTCACCATCATATTATAAAGCTGTTAAAGACATGTTGTTTGTGTTTTAATAGAAAAAAAAATAAGACGGATAAACATTTTAGAGATGGAAGAAAAAAAATAGTTAATATAGAGATAAATTACAACTTTTAAATGTTTACTTGAGAAAAAAAATATTCTTTTATAATATTAACTGAAACAATATTCATCTATTACAATTAATAGTGTTGAAAAAAAAAATTATTGACTTCATAGCCAAACAAGAAACTGAGAAAGTCAGATGGTGATGAAACTTTGATATAATCTGCTTGAGAACTATATTAAACTGTAAAATTTAGTAGTTCAGTGCTTCTAGATATCAATGTTGCTAATAAAAACACCATAATATTGTTGATACGCTAACCTGTCGACAACTCTATATCTTTGTTAAATGATATGAAAATAATCTAATAACATGTTTCTTTCTTTTATTTCATAATGCATCTAATATGTCAAGTACACTACTCTCATATCGATCTGAATATAGTATAACTGCTTAGAAGAGCATAATAAGAACATCTGAATGATTTTAAAAACATCGGATATTTGTATAACTGATACTTTTCCAGTTTTTCACTGATATAATTTTCTAGATGTTGTCTCTTGCACCAGTTAGATTAATTTTTTTATATATGTATAAACACATTCAAAAGGTTTACTTTTCTGCACGCGTGTAAAAAAACAAGCTTAGTACAATTTCATCGTCGAAAAGATCACGTTCTTGACAAGTAACATATAATTTCTTTCTCATTGAATGAAATGCTAAACTGATAGCATTATAAAGGTTGTAAGTAAATGTTCTTTGCTTAATACCATCAAGACTACTTTATTCAATGACTATTCATGGTCTTTGTTCAACGTCAATATTTATTGTGGAATCAATAGCAACATAGACTATATTCGTTGATGATAGAATGATGATAGTTCGAGTACACTAAGTATTCGAACCATTAGCCATGACTATCTTATCATTATTCTTAATATTTAGAGTTACGTTCATCTATGAATTACAACACACTGTGCCGTCATAACATAGATGGAAGAAGCCATAATGAAAGCCTATTAATAAGATGAATTGAGACTTTGAAACGTTGACAAATATCATTCGTTGATTTAAATACTCATAATAATCTGTATCTACCAAAGAGAAAGTACGATTGGCGTTTGGTTCACTAACAAGTAAAATTTTCAATCCTATGCCATGACATTTTCGCGAGATACTCAACAAACCATAGTAGATATTTATTCATTTGGTACATTCAAAGTTTTCTATGGCCCCTCATTTTATATAATTATTTTTCTTTTATTTGAAAGAGTATATCAGACTGCAGTACTTGGTAAAATCCTTTTTTTTTACATTCTTGTTTTTTATGTAGAAAAAAACAATGACAAGTTCAATATCTTGAAAAGCTGCCCAAAAATTATCATCTATTTATAGAAATACATTTTAAATGATAATAAAGAAGGTTAATTCAAAAACCTTGTATATTTTTCAAGGAAAAATTAGCGAAATCATTCAAAGTTGTTTTTGGAAAAAACGATGTACCAAGTAAAAATTCTTATTATATCTCAAAAAACCCAATCTCAACTCTTCCTTCTATATACTTATTTTAACTTTGATAATTCTCACGAAAATGGTTTTTTTTTCTGAGTGAGAACTTCTTCAATACAAAGCCAAAGAATCATTATGATCATTAGAATAGAAAAGATGCGCTTCATTCCTTACCAATATCACTGTTTGAATATCCAATGAAATAGAACGATTCTTTAACTGTTTGCGCGAATATATTTCAGAGATCAAATCCAAATAAAGAAGAAAGGATAGTTGGCAGAAAGAACATAGAAACAGAAACTGAAGAAAAAGAAAACAATTGCTCAACCATGAAGAACATGATAATTGACAATCGTCACGTTCATTTACTAATAGCCTTCGTGTGCTAGTCATGTTTACTTTCATGGAACTCATCATCACACGTATCTCTTGTATTTTGAAATCACCATGAGCCCAAATAGCATGGCGGCAAATTCAGGATTTGATCAATACTATTGCGTATTTTTATAATTTCAGAATGATTCGATGGAAGATATTTTTTAAGAATTGCCTCTGCTCGTTGAAAGTGTTTTAGTGCTCTGTCGAAGGATTTATTCATATAGCGAAACACACCGATATTATTGTGTAACCGACCCAAGTCAGGATGTTCTTCTGATGGACAAGTGTTTTTTGCAATGGCAAGAGCTTTCTTAAAATCTTCTTCTGCTTCAATACACTTTCCCATCGCCCCATAGACTGATCCTCTATTCATGTAGGTTGACATGAATTCACCATGACCTTCGAAAAAATGTTCCCTTTGGATGTTTAGTACTTTTTCAAAATAATATAATGCAGTTTCGTAATGTTCCTTACGAATCTCAATCAGAGCCATATTGTTGTAGATACCAGCCATGTCTGG